CAATTCGGCGTTCATTATGATAAAAGTCGCGGTCGATCTCGAATAACTTCAAAGCGCGAGCTCCCCGGTCCATTTTCCGCTGCGAGAAGACGATCGGACGAGAGAAGATCGTCGTGCGTGGCACGCTGTAATATTATATATCGGAGTAATAAGTTGCTGTGTGTTTGTCGGGACGGGCACGCCGACGAGCAACAGACGCGACAACCGTGAACAGTAATATCGTTATTGGTATTCAATGTCGGTCGCGTCGCATCCAATCTGACTAGCGTGCGTTTCGAAATAAATTGCATTTGTGACTTCGAGCGGCTTCGACGGCTTTTTCCCTCGCTGATAAACAAAACGGAAGAGAATATTACTTTCCGTCGCGCGCACAATATACATCCGCGGCCAACAACGGCCGACAATTAGCTCTCCGTTGGCGCACCATGTCGTATGCAGATTTCATAGTTTTTTATACACTGTGAGAGAGGAAATATCTGGAGGATAAAAGATATTTATTGGATGAGTATATGATAACATGTTCACTTGCACTGATATATGTATGTTCATATTGAGAACACATTTCTTTCCGAATGAGAAAACATTCTCCTAAAATCGTGGCTTCTCATGAAGGCAATCGTTTGGTCTATTTGAACAAAAAGATTTAGATTCAAGTAAATATTAGTACACGAAGAAAAATATCACTTTGCTGTTAAGAAAAGTGACTACTTTTCTTTTTTTAAATATTGGTTATCTTCAACAGAGAATATTCTCTTGGAGATAGTCTTTAAAGTAGTCTTAATAGTCTTAATACTCGTTGAAAATTTGAGAAAAGCTCATTGTCATGTGCTCAAAAGAAAAATGTATTTTTTCTGTAAAGATATTGTAAAATTTTATTCAAGAGAAAGTTGACTCGGCCCTTCGCGACAAGCAAACCGAATTATTGTTTTAATTTCGTATTCTCGATTGAAATACTAAACTTACTAAAATTTAGAATGTATTTTGTACAAATTTGATGCTTATGATAAACTCGTGATAGATTTGTGGATATGCAATACTTGAAGCAAGTAACAAATGACTTGTGAAGTAACATCTACTTGAATGTAGCACGCATTTTTCTGTGTGTGTACACACATACCCATCGAATAAACATTCCTAATTTCTTTTTCGATATTTTTTCTCTCAGTATATGCAACGAAGCTGCACATCGCGAGAAATTAACGGAACATGTTATTTCTGCAAAGTGTGCAAACATTACATTAGTTGAGAGTCAGAGATTCGTGCAGCGGTACATTTATTTTAGAGAATACTCTTCCGCGATTTAAATTCGAGGAGGAAAGGAATTATAAAAATTATTGAGATTAGTCTGGATTTCTTCTTTTGTTTCTTTACTTAGGTCACATGAATATTGGTTATCGGTGAAATCACGCCGTTAAAGTCGGCGTTCGCTAAGCCGTGCGAATTTCATGTTCCTTATCGTGGGGGGCGACGCGAAATTACCACGACCATTTACTATTTTACGAGCTCTCGGACGGAAAGTTTTCTTTTGGATCTCCGGCAACACGGGCGTTTTATATTAGCTCTGTGTGCAGAGAAGCGGTCTCTTAAAACATTCCCATAAATCCTCCTTAAACTTTTATTTCCGCGCAATTGGAGCGAACGGCGGCGTACGCGGTAATTCGCTGGCGTGCATCGGGAATAAAGAATAGACAATCTTATCGAGGTTAATTCGCGGGACAAGAGAGAAGGAGAGATGCGTTATCGACGAGCGAATGAAGAGTTGCGTCTCAAAGCGTGCGAGTTCTTTCCCCGGGAGGTGTGAAGGTTCTCGCTCTATTATCACGCGAACGTCACACAGAGTTGTCAAATGCCACTGGCCCTGCGATTTTTCCGTCGAGTGCGGACGTCCGTGGCATCCGTGAGAAGAAAACTCCGGGGATCTTCATGCGAGCCGCCCGCGGCATCGTCGTAAAAGTTAAAGAGAGAAATAGAGCGAAAGGGTGCGCGTTAGAGGGACGTATGAGCGAGAAATCTCGTAAGGGCATGAAAAGAGGAGGCAAGCGCCGGCGGAGGGCAAAGAAGAGCGATCCGAGCCCGTGTTGTAAAAGAGAGTGAAAGGTTGGACGGATCTCTCGTCGAGCGTATACAGGGCATTTCATAAAGTAAGAGAAACGCGCGGGTATCATGGAAGAAGAGAAAAGGTCGGTACTTGGCCGGACGCGATGATGGTATCGGCGATTCGAAGGGAAAAAGTTCCTGCGAACACGTGTCGTGAACGAGCTGCAAAGTGCACGGCGGTCGAAGGTGGAACTTTTTCGACGGTCCATCGTAATCTTTGGGAAATACGTTACTTTCGCGTTACTGCGCGAAACGCTCGCGTCGGGACCGTGTAAATGTCTCACGGCGATTCGTTTCCATTCCTCTTTTGCATTTTTAGATTCGAATTATCATAATTTATACTGGATATTCGATGACAAGTGGGAAAACGCCCGTGTACATTAGGTCAAACTAAACACAAAATTTCTCTATAATTTTAAAAATAACCATGTAAGATTCTGAGTGAAATATTAGTTAGATATTCATTGAAGGAGATTGATGATCGATCTCGCGCGATGCAGTGGGGGTGTAACCTGGCAGGGTAAGTAAGATTTCCGTTGCGTTTGTACATTAAATTAAACTAAACAAAACAGTCCTCTACCATTTTGCATATATATATATATATATATATATATATATATATATATATACATACTACGTAGATTTGTGAGTTATTAATTAAGTAAAATTGGTAAATGATCAAAATTTGCGCAATTATTCGCCAATTTTTAAAAATTAATATTAAAAATCTACGTGACTTTTACAAAATGATGGACTTTCTCGTTCAGTTTAACCTAATATAGAATGGAAATCATATTCACATCTTGCATCTCATCGTGTGCAATCATTCATCGATTTTTAATTAATATCTTAAAATTTAACAGATATTATTTGCAAAATACTACAAAGAGGAGTTTTGTGTTCAGTTTGACTTAATCCAAGGTAAAAATATCAATGCCCGGACATGTATTTAATTCTGCATATTCTTATTGTTTTAGTCTTTAAACATGAAGATTTGAATATGAAATTTCGACAAGAATGTCCAGGATTAGGTACGTGTCCGGGAATTGGTACTTTTACCTTACATATACATCAGAGTTTTCCCACGCTGAGAAAACCTTCGGTTATCAAAACAAAATTTGCTGTTTAATGATTATTAGGGAAACAGATCGAATAATTAATGTTGTAAATCGTTTCTCACCATTTGTCATTTTAATGAATACATACTTTGCCTGAAATATAAATCACATTTGTTCTCGTCTACTTAGTCGTCTAGATTAGGTTAGTTACATCTCCATTACAAAAGTGTTTCTTAGAGCAGCAAATTGGAAATAACAAATAATTCATTTCCACTATGTGGTCATGTACTGTCTCATATCAACAAGCTATTTGTTGCGGGTGCTGATATTGTATTGAATTAGCAAAACCTTTTCAGTGTATCTATCGTCAGACATATTGTGTATGTAGTCAATACAGCTGATTAATATTATATTAAATGTAATAGTATGAATCAGTCGATAAGTTTGCTTCGACTTTTAACTCGTGACTTTATTGCATTCGATAGAGACAAATTATTCATCGACCAAGTGGTTGCCGTCTACAATATTTCGCCAACGTTCTGACAGCGAAATGTTATCAGTATTGTCACGTGTATACATATCAGTATCGCATGTATACATGAATGTGATACATTGAAAATCCAGCCAAATTTCTTCAATATTTAAAGTAGCTTCGCCGTCGAGGTAGTCGATAGAACTATTCAGAATCGGCGTCGGGGTATCGAGCAACTCCTTCAGGATATTTGGCCCACGTGCGTATGGAGTCATCTCCGACGTGGATATCTTATGGCGCAGCGAGCGATATGTTGCTCTCGAGCGTTTTACTTTGAGTATTCACCGCTCGCTCTGAGCTTCGCCGCGAAAAAGGTGACTCGACGTTTCGCATTCTGCATTATATCCTATCGCGAGCATTGCACGACGCGCGCGTGCCTTTCCTATTCGATTTTCTTCGGGAGAGAAAAGCGAAGCGAGGATAGTCGCGCGCGGACTGCTTTCTTGGACGATCGGTGGCGCAACATTTCCCAAATTCGATGCCAATATGCGAACGTTGTCGAGTCGTCGTCGCTTTTTCGGGATACTTGATGCAGGTGCATCCATTGCATACGTACTCATCACTGATGCAATCCTACCTGTTACGTTTATCTCTTTCTTTCTCATTTCTCTCTTCTTATTTCACCTTCTTTCTCTTTCTCGTCGGAAAAGGTCTCTGCCATCTATCGTTTCACATTCCGAGGCTTAAAAGCCTCGCCCGGGGTGATGTCCCGGAGAAACTAAAACTTGCAGAAAGTACCAGGCAGCTAGGCGTAACGAGCTGACTCGAACCTCGGGATTTTTCTCGGACCCTCGGTCTTATTAAGCGTGGATTTATGAGGTACCGCTATCCTCTCTATCCCTCTTCAATTGAACGCGCAGATATCTCAGGAACAGTACACAAAGAGAAAGAACGATACACGGGGGAGACGTGCGACCACGTCGTGAGAAATATTTGATTGCATCCGCGTGCGGGGCCACGCCACGCTTACGGAAGTTCTCTCAGCGAGAAAGACCATTAAAAGTCTTCTCTTTCTCGATTTCTTCCCTGACATTTCACGCTCGACTCGCCCGGCATAATCGAGTATCCGAATAAATCCGATAACGGCGGCCGAAAACCCAGCTACGGGATGGCAGTTAAAAGTTAAAAGTAGGCGGGAAATGGCAGTTTTTTGATTTTGAAGTCCGCTCGCGTCGTGGACAGCGCCGCGAAGCGCGACTTCCTCCGCTCCCGACGGCGCGGAAAATATCAGGCAAAAAGTTCGAGGGAGGAGGGCGGACGGACGGATGGAAAAGGCCGGGCAGTTGGGGGTTTTCGGTAGCGGAGAAACGTACCTGTATCTCTGGGTGTCCATTTCCCTCCGTTCCTCGGCTATGGCCTCGTTTAGGTCCCTGTTCGGATCGATTCCTCTGGGAGCCTCGCTGTTCGCTTGCAGATTGTCGTTGCTGACGAATTCCACTTCGACGTCGTCTTCGTGATACGATTCGGTCAGGGTGTACTCGCGCAGCTGAAACAGCAACGACGGGGGGTAGGTACGCTTTCAATCAGCGGTCGGTCGGCACGGCAATGAAAAAAAACAAAAAAAAGGAAAGCAAAGAGAGAGAGAGAGAGAGAGAGAGAGAGAGAGAGAGAGAGAGAGAGAGAGAGA